CTCCAATTCACCAACTTCACAATTTTTTTACAAATTGTAACAACCTCAATATTTTTTAACTATTTTTTGGAATAAAGTAAGCAATCGTAGCAACCTCATAATTTTTTCACTATTTTTTTTGATAAAGTAAACAATTGTACCAAGTAGAGAAGAAAATTAGAGAGAGATTTTGATGGATTGATATTGATTTTGTAAAAAAAAATGAAAGAATGAGGGGCTATTTTTAGTAGAAAATAGGAAAAAAGTATAATAATAAAAAGTTTAGTTTGGGGGGGGGGCGGTTAAACTGCTATTTTTTAAATACCCAACCCAGTTGCTAGCCTTAAGTTTGTACGAGCCTTTATCGATTTTTCTGACAACTCGATATGGTCCTTCCCAGTTCAGTCCCAGCTTCCCCTTGTTCGGGTTCTTGGTGTGTAATGTTACTTTTCTTAACACCAAGTTTCTGACTTGAAAGAGTCGGAGGCTAGCTCTTCAGTTGTAATACCTTTCTATTCGCTGTTTCTATTCACAGTTCTAGGCTCGTGATCATGGCCTCGCCGTTTGGCTCTTCTGTCGCATATTGGAACCTGAAGCTTGGTTCTCCCACCTCGACTGGTATTAAGGCTCCAGCTCTGTAGACCAATGAAAATAAGGTGGCCCCGGTACTAGATTTTGAAGTCATACGGTATGCCCATAGGACTTCGGGCAGGATCTCCTTCCATTTCCCTTTCGCACTGGTCAACCTCTTTTTCAGGTTTTGAAGTATGGTCTTGTTTGTTGATTCTTCCTGCCCATTCCCACTAGGGTGATAAGGTGTTGATCGTATCTTCTTGATCTTATAATCTTCGTAAAATTTACTTACCTTGCTACTGATGAATTATTTTCCATTATCGCAAACGACCTCGGCCGATATTCCAAACTGACATATTATGTGGTCCCAGATGAAGTCAATGACTTCTTTCTCATGGACCTTTTCAAATGCCTGAGCTTCGACCCATTTGGAAAAATAATCAGTCATGAATAAGATGAATTGAGCTTTACCGGGTGCCCATGGTAGGGGACAGACAATGTCCATTCCCTACTTCATAAATGACCACGGGGACAAAACCGAGTGGAGCATTTCTCCTGGTTGATGGATCATCGGGGCGTGTCTCTAGCATTTGTCGCATTTCTATACGAAGTCCTTCGCATCTTTCTCCATCTTGGTCCAGTAATAGCCGACCCTAAGCAGTCTCCGAAGCAAAGATTCTGCCCCCGAATGGTTCCTGCAAGTGCCTTCGTGAACTTCTCTCAAGGCGTATTCGGTCTCTCCCGGTCCCAAACATCTGGCTAGTGAGTCATCAAAGGTTCTCTTGAACAGTGCCCTTCTACCAAGCTAAATCTGGCAGCCTTAGTATGCAGGGCTCTTGATTCTTTGGGATCAGAAGGCAATTTTCCTGTCTTCAAGTATACTATATATTTGTTCCTCCAGTCCCAAGTTAGACTTGTTAAGTTTACTTCAGTGTGGCCCTTTTCTATCATCGACTTCATGAGCTGCACTATTGTTCCCGAACTGAATTCATCGGCATCGACCGATGACCCCAGGTTATCCAGAGCATCGGCCTCAGTGTTCTGATCTCGGGGTACGTGTTGCAAGGCCCATTCCCTGAATTGATGCAACGTTACCTGTAATTTCTCATAGTACCTTCACATCAGTTCTTCTTTTACTTCGAACGTCCCGTTAACTTGGTTCACCACGATGAGGGAGTCGCACTTAGCTTCGATCACCTCGGCCCTAAGGCTTTTAGCCAATTCCTGACATGCAATCATGGCCGAGTATTGTTAGTCAATTTCACAATTCTTATAGATTGCCTAATTACGTTTCTCGTAGGTGGTTTTAATACGATGCCGAGCCCGGACCCCTTCGCATTCGAGGCACCGTCCGTAAAAAGGGTCCAGATTCTCGAAGTGGTTCCCGAGGTCAACAACAATTCCATCTCGACTTCAGGTATTAAGGCCAGTGTAAAGTCGGCCACGAAGTTTGCCAAAATCTGAGATTTTATGGCAGTTTGGGGTCGATAATGGATATCATAACAGCTAATTTTGATGGCCCATTTGGCCAACCAGCCCGAGATCTTGGGTTTGTGCATGATGTTCCTCAGCGGGTAAGAAGTTACGACACATATGGGGTGGTATTGAAAGTATGGATTTAGCTTTCTGGAGGCGATTAGCAAAGTGAGCTCCAATTTTTCCGGGTGAAGATACCTTGTTTCAGCCTCTCCTAGACTTCTACTGACATAGTAAATAGGAAACTGTGTACCTTCTTTCTCCAGGACTAAGAATCCACTTACCGCCACCTCAAAAACGGCCAGGTAAAGGTATATTTATTCGTCCGCCTTCGGAGTATGGTGAAGGGGTTGACTCGATAGGTATCGTTTGAGTTCTTCCAAAGCTTGTTGGCATTCTGGGGTCCGGGAAAAGTTATTCTTATTCTTTAACAGTGAGAAGAACCGATGGCTTTTGTTCGAGGACTTTGATATGAATCGGCCCAGGGCGACTATACGTTCGATCAGCCTTTGAACGACCTTGACGTTGTCCACCACGGTAATGTCCTCTATGGCTTTGATTTTGTCGGGATTGATCTCGATCCCTCGATTGGATACCATGAACCCAAAGAATTTTCCCGATCCGACCCTGAATGCGCACTTCTCTAGGTTCAGCTTCATATTGTATTTCTTCAGTATGTCGAAGGTTTTCTGCAAATGTTTCAAATGGTCCTCTGCTTGCAAGGACTTGACTAACATGTCGTCAATATAAACTTCCATTAATTTTCCTATCTATTCTTTGAACATCCGGTTTACTAGGCATTGATAAGTGGCACCAGCGTTCTTTAATCCGAAAGACATTACATTATAACAGTAGGTGCCGAATTTAGTGATAAAAAAAGTCTTTTCTTCATCGTCCGGGATGCATTCGAAATTGGTTGTACCCGGAATAGGCATCGAGAAAGCTGAGTATCTCATGCTCGGTCATCGCGTCGATCATCCCATCAATGTTAGGCAAAGGAAAAGAATCCCTGGGACATGCCTTGTTTAGATCTTTTTAATCTACACACATTCATAGCTTATTCCCTTTTTTAGGAACTACCACTACGTTAGCTAACCAGTTCGGGTATTTAACTTTCTGAATGGACCCTATTTTAAGGAGTTTGGATACCTCGTCCTTAATGAATGCATGCTTGACCTCGGACTGTGGTTTCCTCTTCTGCTTAATCGGATGGAACTTTAGGTCCAAACTCATCTTATGAGTGGTTACTTCCAGTGGGATCCCTGTTATGTCAAGATGGGACCAAGCGAAATAGTCTATGTTAGCTTTAAGTTAACTAATGAGTTTTTTCCTGAGCTCGGGAGTTAACCCCGTACCAGGTATACCTTTCGATATGGTAGGTGTTCGATCAATAAGTCTTGCTCCAACTTCTCGTCCGTCGATTTGGTGGCGTCGGTATCATCAAGAGCACGGATATTACCAATGCATCATTGTGTGGTTGCACGATGCCCTCGGCATCCTCGTCGCTGAACGAAATGGTTCCCTGCGGGACATAATCTCTGGTGCATTTTTCCCTTGTGATAGATACTTTAGTGCGATTTATTATTGGCCCTTGAGGGACATCGACCCCTAAAATGATCATGTTGATGACGTGCTAAGGCTCCTCTTGTTTGGCCTGTTTGTTTGTGTCCCTATTCCTGAAGTAGGTTTTGGCTCGATCACTCAAAAATTCTCGAAGGTGCCCGTTATTGAACAACCGGACAACTTCTTCTCTCAATTGTCAGCAATCCTCGGTCATGTGGCCATGAGTACCGTGATACTTGCACATCAAGTTAGGATCTCTTTGGGCAGTGTCGGATTGCAATGGTCGAGGCCACTTGGTCTCCTTGATGTGCCCGATGGCTGATATGATATTGGCATCATCAATGTTGAAGTTATACTCTGATAATCTTGGTGCTTCCCTACCCCCAAGCGGCCTGTCGAAACTATTTTTGCTCATCAGACCTCGGCTACTGGGCCCTCGATCGCCTCTCTTTCGCTCCTCGCGGGTTGACGCCCGGACCTATTTCCCCTTCGATCGGCATTGTATGGTTGGTACCGATCCCGGACCGGACTTGGTTCATGATCGACGGCTCTCTTGGACCTGTTGTCGGCCCTGATGGGATAAACAGAACCAGAAGGGGCCCCGAGTTGGTCGTCCTTGACTATGATCTTTGACTAGTGTTGACACCCAATTTTATCCATCCTTACTCCATATTATTCTAATGAACTATTATTTTATTTAAGAGTCATAATAATATTTATAGCATTTTTTTATATTATTACAAGTACTACAACTTTTATTATTATTATTATTATTATTATTATTATTATTATTATTATTATTATTATTATTATTTATAAAATATTTTTTTACTACATATTAGCAACTTCTAAAAAATAAAGCATTTACAATTTATTTTTAGCTTGTTTAAATATTTATAGTATTTGTTTTTCAAATTCTTGTATCTTATTTTTTATTTATTCATTATCACTCCTAATTATTTTATTACTATGACATTTTAATGGTAGCTCAATTATTCTCCTAGAATCAAGCCCAAATAATATATTCCTAGTCCAAACCAACTCAAACAATTTCTCCTTAGCAATTCTAATCTCGTAGCCCAACCTGCTAGCCCAACACTAACCCATGTCAACTAATTCATTTAGGTTAGCCCAAATCCTACTCCACTAACATCCAAAATCATAACCAACCCAAGTCAAACGGAAAAATGTGTTAAAAAAGACATCTCAAGTATTTTGTAAGTATTTGGGATATCCTTTTTGATTAACAAAAGACTAACTAATTAAGAAGGATTAGGGGTGGTTTGGGTCAAATTATAAATAAAAAAACTTTGAGGTAAAATTTAAAATACTAAAAAAAATAATAACATCTTACACTGAAACACATTTTAAACTTTTCCAACTTTTCTCTTTCTTCTCTTTTCAAACCCACGATTTTCTCCCAAACTTTTCTAACTTTTCTCTCAAATTCAATCTCCAAACTCAAGAGTTCTATATGGCTTCAAAATTCAGCTCCATTCCGTTCAAATTTGCTTTGAAGTCGAGATTCCATCATCAAGGTAAGTTTTTTTTTTCTATCATATTGATAAACACTAAACTTGTTATTTCAACCCTAAATTGAGTTTTTGGGGTATTTTTGTATCTTCTTGTTGTTCTGTAGCTTTTGTGCCTAAATTCTAGAGTTGTTGTGTAGTTGATATTTTTGACCGAAAATTTGATATTCTTATGTTGTTTATCTGTAGCCATTGATGTGGTTGTCCCACATGCCCATAAAACTAGTTGTTGTGATATTGAAACAGCTATATTGCTCTATTTTTGGTTTGTGGAATACTTTTTTGCCCAAATATTTCAAACATGTCAGTTGAGTGTTTGAAACATCTTAAGTTATTGTTAAATATTCGTGTTGTTGTTGTTATTGTTGTATGTTGTGAAGTTATTGCAATGTTTATTTGGGTTTGGTTAATGATATTTTGAGCTGAGTGTTTGAAACATCTTATTAAGATGTGTGAAGCTTCATATAAGATGTTTGAAACATCTGTAAGGATATTTAACAATCCATGATATATTTCACCAAAAGATACCAGATTATCACAATGAGATGGTTGATTATTTTAGCGATTAAAAAAATCATTGATAGAGACATATAGATAAAGAAGTTTGGAGAACTATAAAATGAATATTGCTAGTTTTCCTTCAAACTCCATCTAACTAGCTAGAAACTTAAATTACTATATCTTGCTTAGCATTTGTAGATGGCAGAAAATTAATTTTACCTCTTAAGATCAATCTTGTATGACCATTCAATGCAGCACCTTTAGAGATGTTTGAAATATCTCAGTAAGATGTTTCAAACATCTTAATGAGATATTTGAAACATTTTGTTGAGATGTTTGAAATATTTTACTGAGATATTTCAAACATCTCACTAAGATGTTTCACCAAAGAAAACTTAAATATTTATAGTTTTATTTTTTTATGTGTTAGGAACAAATTATTTGTTTATTTTATTGATGGTCGTTACTTGTTTGTGTGTGCAGATTAAATGAAAAAAGGACGTGTGTCAAAGACAGGTGAAAGAGGAAGAGATAAATCTCCTTCTAAAAGATCTAGCAAAAGAATTAAGATATCTCAAGAGGATGATCTACAAAAATCAATTGTAGCTGAAGTGGAAGCCAAACCTCTTCAGGTAGTAGAAGGAGGGAATGCTGGAGAAGAAGAAAAAGAGAACGAAAATGAAGAGAAAATTGAGAAAGAAAATAAAGAGGAAACAGAGAATGTACTAGGAGGGAATGCAAGAGAAGCAAAAACAGAGAAAGAAAAAGAAGAGGAAACATAAAAGGAAGAAGAAGAGGAAACAAGGAAAGTAAGAGAAGAAAAGACAAATATTGATGGAGAAGAATCAAAAGAGGAGACAACAATTGATGAAAGAGAAGATGAGACATATATTGATGATGAAGCATCAGTAGGAAATACCGAAGGAGAAGCTTCAAGAGAAGAAGAAGAAGAAGAAGAAGAAGAAGAGGCAGCGGCAAAAAGAAGAAAAAAGAGAAAGAATGGCAATGCACATTCTCAATCTGTCGAGGTAAGCTTAATATGTTTCAAACATCTCTCTAGATGTTTGAAATATCTCTATAGATGTTTGAAACATCTCTCTGGATATTTAAAGTTTATGTCTGCATGTTTGAAATATTTCCTAAGATGTTTCACTAAACATGATTGTAAAGAGATCTTTTTAATTATTAAATTAATTATTCTTGTGCCTTTGACTAATCAACACCTTTATATGTACAAGATGAGATGCCTGAGGATGAGTCTGACAGTTGCGAGGTTGAAATCTTAAAACTTCGATCGGAACTTCCACCCTTAAAGTAGAAGACATTTTTAGATGATAATGAGACCTTCAACAAGAAGATCACTGTGAGATCCTCATTAGGATTAGCAGGTATGGGTGAGTTCCGAAAGTTGTTGCAGGATGAGGGCCTCGAAAACAAGTTTAGGAGTAGTCTTCTCGGGCACTTTTTGGATTTGCCTGAGAGGCCACTATTTCAAGCATCTATAGTGCATGGCCTTCTACTCCGTAGAGTATTGTGTGAGAAGACTCAGGAGTTATGGTTTGATTATAAAGATTACCAATTGGCTTCGGCCTTCGTGAGTTCTCCATAATAACTGGACTCAACTGTGGACATTATTACACGAATTCGAAGCTTCAAAAGTACCTTCTTGATGGTGAAAAGTTGTGGAAACTTATTGCCAAAGGAAAAAGGCCTGTGACTGGTAAAATAGTGCTTGAGTTGATAAAATCTAAATCCAAAAAGATAGAAAAATACAAGTATGCATTATGCTTGATTTGGTTTATCCACTGTATTTTATTGGCAAAGGCTTCGAACTATGGTGTGTCTGAAGCTACAGTTAGATTGGCCTCCACAGAAGAGGATTTCTATCATTATCCATGGGGCCAAAATAGTTTCCGATTGACAGTTGGTTATCTTATGAAAGATATGAAAGAGCGTCAACAATCTAAGGGTGACTCGTATAACCTCCACGGATTTCCTTGGGCTTTCATGGCAACTAAATAAATCTTGTTCATTACTTCTATTTTAGTGTTATTTATATAATTTTATATTTACTTTTTTATCACACAATGTAGGCTTGGGCATTTGAAGTCATACCTCAATTGCGGCTAAAAGACTATCCAAAAGAGAGGACATTGCCGAGGATGAGGAGGTGGATATTTGAAAATATAGAAAAAGACATGCCTGATCCATTTTAAATCAAAGATCGTCCGGTAAGGCTCATTCTGATAGATGTTTAATGTTTGAAAGATATTTCAAACATTAGATATTTGAAACATCTCCATAGGATGTTTGAAGCAAGTATAGGATGTGTGAAACATCCACATGATGTTTCAAACATCTTTCAAAAATTATCCACAGGACATTTGAAACATTCACATAATGGCTGAAACATCTTTCAAACAATATGTGGATGTATTTTAAATATTCTTCAAAAAGTATTTTAAACATTAAGCATGCCTCTAATATTTTTTGCGTATAATATTTTTTGTTATCTACCCAGGTGATACACCCTTTTCTTTATCCTATAGAGGCTAAAAAGATGGAGCCTTATATCCAAAATCTTGTTATCTTATCTGACAAAGAGGACATGATGATAGATAACCTAAGTAAAGAGTTGGATGGAGTGACAGACTTAAGGCATTTGGGTGGTGCCATTAAGATAGAGAAGGGTAGTTTGCAAACCCCACAAGTTGGAGATAGTCATGTGGTTGGAGGATATGATGATAGAACAGAAAAATCTATTGGTGGAGATGGTAAAATGGGAGAAGAAGCTATTGATGACGATGATGGTGATTGTGGAATGCACTTTAATGATGATAATGGTAGGGGGGTCTAATTATGATGATGGCAGAGGAGTTGCTTCTATGAAACAAATGGGTGATGAAATAAAAGATCGTGTTGTTATGGGTATATTTAGTATCCATTGTCCTTGCATATGCCCTGATTTTCAGGAAAAGGAAAAGGAGCAAATAAAGTGGAGGGATGACATGCAGTGTCAGTTGAACCTTATGAATGATCAGTTAAACTCTATGCATAAGACAATGGATGACTTGGTTCAAAAGCTATCAAAGAGACATGTGGTTCTTCCCCGAGCTATTCAGGATCCTTACACAAAAGAAAAAAAAAGGAACAAAAAGAGGAAGAAAACTGGAAAGGAAGAAACCTTTATAGCAGTCAGTGAGGAGAGGCTGGAAGTTTATATTTATAAACCGATTAACTGGGAGAGGAGAAATTCCCTCGTGACATTTATAAAAAATAGGAGGCCTCATATACATTCACATGTGGGATTCTCAATTATGAAAACTTTAAGAACATTCAAGATTCTCAATTTTGGTTGGAGGATAAGGTACATATTCATAACCCTTTCATCTTGATTTGATTTTTACTTCCCAGTTTGAAACATCCTCTAGATTGATTGTGTATGGTTTGTTGAATTGTTTGATCCACAATAAGATTAGTCTTTGCAAGTTTAATGTTCAAAATCTTTTGTATCTCTATTAGAAAGTTTCAGGCAGAAGTGTTTCATGTCTGTAGTATCATGAAATAAGAATCAGATAATCCTTGAATTAAACTAATGTTTCATTATTTCACTTGCTCCAGTGTAAGATGTTCTGTAAGATGTTTGAAACATTCTGTAAGATATTTGAAATATCCTAATGGATATGTGACTGATGTTTATGGATGTTTGATGTTTAATACTAGTATTTGGATTAGTAATTTAGTTATTTTGATTCTGCGGTACATGGAGGATTTCTTATCTCTTATGCGTATTAGACACAGAAGGTACCCCAAGCACTATGATCAAGTAGATATCATCCTGGATTGTAATTTCCTTTATATCTTAAAGGAACACTATAAAACTCTGTGTGATGGGGTGGACAAGGTGAATGTTGCTCCATATCTTCCCATGATCTTGAATGAGTACCAATTTCATAAGGATGATCTAAAGTATGCTCGAGGAGAGATGCCTTTCTGCGGTGGCCGACCTTGGAATGGTGCGAAGAGGATATTTTGTGTATACAACATTGAGAGGAACCATTATGTCACAGTTGTATTTCTTGTTGAAGAGTCAAAGATGCTTATTTATGATTGCAATACCTATGTGTACACTGATGAAAAGTTGGGTGAATATTTGTATCCCATTGGTACAATATTCCCAAGATACCTCCGATCATGTGGCATTTTCATGCACTTGCCTAAAGAATCCTTGAACATTGATTGGATACCTGAAAGGGTCTTTGATCTTCCATGAGATGACACATATAGTAGTTGTGGAGCATAATCCTTAATGTTCATTGAGCATCTCATCACCAACGCTCTGATGGATAAGATGAATGGCAACATTGTTAGCGAGTTTAGAGAGAAAATGGTTGGGGATATCTTTCAAAGGAACATGGAACCATGATATGATTTGTAATTGATGCATATTTTTATATTATTTCTAGATGGTATAAATAGACGATTTACCATTTTTATTGTTTAAGTTTATTTTTACGGATATTATCTAATTTTTTGGATGGTTTTAATGGATATTTGGATCATATCTTTATGGAACAAACCAATGATGTTTGAAACATCTATCAGAATGTTTGAAGAAATTTAATACTTCGAATAATTGAACATAGAATAATTGAATACGTCAAATAATTGATCGGGAACCTATTGACTTTGTGTCATGACACAAAATCCTAACCTGTCATGATGGCGCCTATCTCAATACTAGGCAAGCCGACAACCTCAATAAACCACATTTCCTCTTAAGTTTGAAATCATAATATTTGAATTTCCATAGAAATATCTCACAAATTACTGACATAAGATACATTCCCACACCTCGGTGTCACTGAGTACATGAGCATCTAAATGACAACAAAGTCTGACTGCTAAGAACACTGTCTGAAAATGTAGAACAGTACAAAAACTGAAGGGAAAGAGAGTCAAGGTCTGCGGACGTCAACCAGCTACCTCGATGGTCTCCAACAGATAAAACTCCAAGAACTAGCAACTGCCGTGTCCAGAAGTACCTGGATCTACACATGAGGTGCAGGATGTAGTATGAGTACAACCAACTCAGCAAGTAACAATACTAAATAAAGAACTGAAAATAGTGATGAGCTTCACAACTAAGTCCAATTACAATAATTTCCAGCATAAGAAAGTAGTCATTCTTGTAAGTTTAACAATTAAGGCCCAAACAGTAATTTCATATCAAGTTCAACTGAAACAGGAGATAATATCTCTCAGAAATTTCCAACACAGTGATATATGACAACTATAGTGCAATAGGAATGAAATCAAATGCATCCTCTCAGGACGACTGTCACTCAGCCATTCCATTCACTCAGCACTCGCACTCAGTAGGTACGTGTGCTCACTAGGGGTCTTGTACATGTTGAACTATCTGCTTAATTGTTGCATTGTACTCAGTCACAATTTACTTGTTTATTTTATCTCAGTCTCTATTGTTCTAGAAATATCCTTGTGAAATTTTCAAACCTTGAACAAGAATTGATGGATAAATGACTAGGTCTTCACTTTCTCTCTCTAAGATGCTCTCACCTCTCTAAAAAATATCATATGAAACCCTTCAAAATGACCCCTAATAGTGTTTTATAAGAATGGGGTCGGATTTATAAAACCAGAAAAATGAAGCCCCGAAACACACTTTGCGGTCGCATATGCGACCGCATAATGCTCCTGCGGCCCGCATAATGGTCGCAAAAAGGCCTCTCTAGAACTGGGAAACACTGTTTCAGTCTGCGGTCATTATACACCCCGCATACCTGTTATGCGGTCGCATAATGCACCGCAGAACTGTTCTCCAAACTTGGCCTAGCCTGCTTCATTCTACGGCCATTATGCGGTCCGCAGAGTGATCCCGCGGTCGCATAGTGGGCCGCAGAAATGTATATTTTTTACTCACCAACACATTGTTCAACCCAATGTAAGCCTAGTTCGGCACCATGGAACCTTAATTTCCTTAGCAAACACTTTTCGGGGTCGTTACACATAAGTCAACATCCGGTCAACATTTTCAACATAAAAACTAAACCTTGGAACTAAGTGTTCCAAAACCCTCACCGGGCCCGAACCAATTACCCCGGCAAGTCAAATAACAATCCTAAAGCACAATTTGAGCAGTAAATGGGGAGACGGAGTTGTAATACTCGAAATGACTGGCCGGGACATTACATTCTCCTCCTTTTAAATAAATTTTTGTCCTCGAACGGGTTTAGAATTATACATGGAGTCTCAAATAGGTGTGGATAATTGCTCCGCATCTCCCACTCAGTCTCCCAAGTAGCTTCTCCGACTGGCTGGCCTCTCCACTGCACTTTCACCGAAGTTATGTTCTTTGATCTCAACTTTCGAACCTACGGGTCTAAAATGGCCACCAGCTCCACATCATAAGTCCAATTACCATCCAACTGCACTGTACTGAAATCCAAAACATGAGACAGATCCCCGACATACTTCCGGAGCATAGATACATGAAACACTGGATGAGCACTCGATAGACTAGGCGGCGATGCTAGTTCATAGTCCACCTCTCCAATCTTCTTAAGCACCTCAAACGGCCCAATATACCGAGAGCTCAACTTGCCCTTCTTCCCGAACCTCAACACACCCTTCATGGGCGAAATCTTGAGCAGAACCTTCTCCCCCACCATGTAAGCAACATCACAGAACTTCCAGTCGGCATAACTATTCTATCTAGACTGCTCCGTGCGAAGCCGCTCCTGAATCAATTTAACCTTCTCCAAAGCATCCTGAACCAAATCAGTACCCAATAGCCTAGTCTCACCCGGCTCAAACCAACCCACCGGAGACCGACACCATCTCCCATATAAAGCCTCATACGGAGCCATCTGAATTCTCTATTGGTAGTTGTTATTGTAAGAAAACTCTGCCAGTGGAAGAAATTGATCCCAAGAACCTTCAAAATGTATAACACAAGTGCGTAACATATCTTTCAATATCTGAATAGTGCGCTCAGACTGTCCGTCTGTCTGAGGGTGAAATATTGTACTCAGTTGAACATGTGTACCTCATTTTCGATGTACTACCCTCCAAAACTGTGATGTAAACTGCGTACCCTAATTTGAAATGATGGACACTGGCATACCGTGCAGATGAACAATCTCGCAGATATAAATCTCAGCCAACCACTCCGAAGAATAAGTAGTACCAACTGGTTGGCCAAGGGCTGAACATCCAAGGCTAAAGGCCTTTCTGCTACCGGTAAGTATATTAAGCTGCCCAAACTCTCTGCCTTGAGTCGTAAGGCAGAGAGTTTGGGCCGATGCCTTGAGTCGTAAGGTGTCGGTCTCCGGTGGGTTGGTTTTTGCCGGG